ACTCATCTTCCTAGGGAGGCATGCTTCCTTAAGCATCTGCAGTGGCTAATTTGACACTGTCATGTTTATTCATGGGTCACATTGTTCAGACTAATATCATAATAATGGCCCGAGTTTCAAAAATGGCTTTTGCCAGACTGTCTTTCACCTTAACATTCTGAATGAACCTTTTAGGTCTGTCATTCTTTCATTCAGGAATCATTACTGAACACTTTCTATGGTGGGCAGAACTTCCATGTTCCCCAACTCCAGAGAGCACTATTTTCATTACATTCCCTGGAGCCGAGCCACAGAGGGCATTCCCTGCAGTTGTATATTTAGTGAAGGTCATTTAAAAAGTATGAATGACATAGTCACCTAGCCTGGGCCCTCTGAGAGTGATTAACAAACATTTTTCAATAAGTAGATTATTGTACATTCATTGTGTTATTCATTCATACATGCTGGTTATTCATTAATGAACAGCCCAGGTGTGTGTTCTTCTGGCCAAGACACCAGAAACCTCCATATGGTGCCTCTCTTTCTACCCCTGACGTGAAAGTACACTTAGTGACCAATGTAAGCACAAAGCAGGCAGACATTCGAAACCAAATATGAACTTGGCAATAAAAATACCAGTTTCATTGAAACTTTCTGTCTTGTAAAATGCTGATAATGCTTATCAACCAGCGGAATAAAGTCCAGCCCTGCACCCCAAACAGCTGACATGACCCTCATCAACAACAGAAAGTCAAGTTCGATTATCATGACCATTCTTTCTATTTTTTTTAATCAAGCTATAACAACCACCAAAAAATGTTTCTTTTTTTTTTAATTAAAGTATAGCTGTTTTACAATATTGCTTCTCTTTAATACTACCAACCCAGGAAGGTCATAAAATCTAATCATGAAGGATTTATTTATTATCATTTGTAAAAGTGTTCTTTCAGTAAGAGAACTTTTTTCCTAGAAGTAACTGACCTTTGCTATAATTCTTTTTCACCCCGTCAAGCATTTCTAAGACTTGACACAACTACTTATGTTAGTTGGATCAAAAACACCTTGTGATTCAGGTGGAAATAATTCTTCAAACAGGAATTTATATGACGCTGCCTTTTACCATTCATTAAGTGCCTTTTTATGTTGGGCCTACTTGTAATGTGTATTAATGTCAGCTTGTAAGAGGCAATGGCATTCAGCATTTTCACTAGTTTATAATAAGAAATCACATTTCAAATAAACTTCACTCAATACTAGTCTGTACCGACTGAGTGGTGGAAGGAGGCGGGCACAAAGATGACTTAGACACATGATGTGCTCGCTATATGCATGCAGTCTGGTGCCTGAGACACACACCCACTCAAAAGGCAAACTAACAAGGGCTAAGACCATAGATTAAACGAAGAGCTTTGAGAATATGGGAAGATTAATTCCAACTGGGAGATTTGCTAGTGTGTGCAGTGACCACGTGGGAATGTCAGAAGAGTCGGTAAACAAGGAGATTACGGAATGAAGAGAGATTGGAGAATTAAGAATGGAAGCCTGGTTGAGGAATTCAGACTTAACCCATGTAAATCCTGGATTCTGAAAGCAACTTGCTCAGATTTGTGTTTCCTTAGCCCGCTCTTATGCATTCTCCCTGTTTCATGCCGGGGACAATCCAAATGTATTATTTAAGCTCTAAGAAGTCTCCCCAACCCCACCTCCCCTTGCCCATCCTGCTCCTGTAAGAGCGCTCCGCTTCCACCACACATGTGCCCTTTGACCTCCCAGCACGTCTTGAACTCTGTCATCTCTGCGGTTTCCCTCAGACTCTGTCACTGACCTGGAATCCTTCCCCATTTTTCTCTAGCTACCCAATTTAAACAGTCAGCATTTATCTAAACTGTGTGTGTGTTACTTTTTTTTTTTTTTACCTGAGGGCCTAAGTACATATCAAGCAGTGTGTGATATGCAAAGTCATACCAGATCAGGCCACTACTAATCAGGGACTTCACTGCCTATGTAAATTCTCTCCATGCTTTGAGAGAATGTCTCCACACCAGCGTGGCCTATGAAATTCAGTGGTATATTCAGAAATGTTAGTACCAATTACACAAATGATCTAAACTATTCCACTGATCTCCCTTTAAAAAAAAAAGTTATTTGAAACATGTATCATTGTTTACTTTTTCATCTGTTAAATAATTTTAAGCTCCTTCACAATAGGGATCCTATTTCACCTATCTTTGTTTCTTCTAATAGCACAAATTTAAAAGTTTTCTATATTATAGGTGCTATAGGTGCTTCATAATTGATCCTTACAAAAGAAGTTAATGACAAATAATATTAGCATATGTATAATATGTTAATATACATCTAATATATATTAGCATAATGGACCAGTGCTAAGATTCACTCCATGTATCTGCACATTCTTAAATTTCATGAACCAATAACTTTTTTAAATTAATGCATATATTTGCATGTATATATGACAAGTTTATTTTCCTAATTAAGATTACTTCAAAAATCCACTGTTACATAATTTATACCATCATGAATTTGTTGTGCAAAAAAATCTGTTAATCGGCTACCAGATTTTCATAACGCTGAAAAAAAATCAATTTTTCATAAAAGTAGATGACACATTATCTTAGAATAAAGTGTAGGATTTTAAATTGAATAAATAGGAAAAAATCATCACAGCATCCTATTTTGTCATTTAAATCATTTAAGACTTCTATAGAAATCTGGAGATGAGAAAGTGAAAGCTAGAAAGAAAACATCGTCATCATTGAGTTTTTCAATTAATCCTTATAAGAATCCTGTAGAGTAGGTCTCAATAGTTATAGCCAGACTCAGAGAAGTCAAATAATTTGCCCAACTAAGCTCCCTAAAACCCAGTATCCAAACCTAGGTGTCTGTGACTCTCTCTACTCTGTCTCCTGGTACTACAAGGGAGTACAGGGAAACTTCAAGGAGGTGGTGGCATTTTGAGTTGAGTCTCTGGTGGCATTTTGAGTTGGGCTTATGAGGAATGATAGGTTTCTGTGCGCAGAGATTGAGGGTAAAACATTCCAGTGTAAGGAACAACTGTGTTAACTCATACAAGCAGGGAACAAAATGAATGCTATGACGAGCATCCCAGATCCCCTCTAGGACTGAGGCATTCACTCCCCCAACAGCTGGCAGGCTGGCATGTGATGGCTCTCTGGGATTTGCCGTCAAAAAAACTCCCAGATTTCCCATGAGTAGCCCACACAAATTACTACTTAATGTACTTAACGTTGGATGGAGAGTGGGAATATGAAGCCTAACCCCCATGCCTCAAGGTGGAGTATCGTGAAGGGTCAACCCAGCTCCAGAACTCTTCGTTGCAACTGCATCTCCTCCATCTTCTGCCCAATCCTACCTACATCCTTCACCTCTCAATAAACTCTCTTCATGCACATCTCCGTCTCTGAGTCTACTTCCCAGGAAAGTGGACCTAAGACCATTGGAAATATAACAATCAATCAATCAGTAAACTAAGACAGTATGGGATATAACAATGATAAAAGAGAGATGAAATTCTGTTTGGAGAAAACCTTGAATTCTGTGCTAAGGAATTTGGACTTTATCCTGTGAAACAAAGGTTTCCAAAGTAGAGTGGCTAAAAGGATGCTCAGGAATATAGGAAGAAAATATTTATTATTATTCATACTTTTATAAATATCTGATTTTCTGTTTTATAATACAGATAATATATTAGCATAGTACATATACACAGGTATTTGTATGTGCTCTAATTTTTTTTTAATAGATGTGTGCAATCAAAAATTGAGACCACAGCTATAGACACTGGGAAAGTCAATAAGGTCTTTTTTTTTTCTTCTTTTTTTGAAAGGAAAGATACATTCAGGACAAAAGTTAGACTAGTGGTTCTCAACCTTCAACCCAGGAGAATCACCTGGGAACTATTAAAAAATATTGATGACCAGGCCCCACCCCAAACCAATTATATCAGTTCTCTGGGGTAAGGCAACAGCATCAGTATTTTTCTTTTCCCCTGATGCTTCTAATGGGCTCAGGTTAAGAACCACTGAACTAGAGGGGAGGAGGGTATAGCTCAGTGGTAGAACAAGTACTTAGCATGCACAAGGTCCTGGGTTCGAATCCCCAGTACCTCCATTAAACAGATAAATAATTACCCCTCCCCCCACAAAAACCCCAAAAAAACAGCTGAACTAAAGGTATAATCAAGTTTGATCTGAATTTAATTAATTAATCCAAACTATTAAAGATCCTGAAAAGAAACCATCTGGTTACAGAGGAATGAAAGCTAAAGATTTAAGAAGTGATTTTACCTTAAGCAGAGGGTCTGTACTGGAAATAAACATGGTTATTCTCTCCACATTTTGTTTTCACTTCCTTAGAAAGCTTAGCAGTCACATGACCCTGCTGGCTCTCTTGACCAGAAGAAATGAGTAACTCACCCATCAAGAGAGCTTTTACATAAGCCACTTTCTTATCTGCTAGAATTTGAGTGAGCTCTCTCAGCCTCACCGCTTGTTTTCCTGGGAGTTTACACATAATAAAATACACACAATGACCCTCTTACTCTTCTTTTACCAGAAGATGATTTAATACTGAGTAGCCTTGAAATGCAAATCTCCGTATCAAACAGCAAGCTACTTGCCTTCACCTGGGCTAAGGATGTATTAGAGTGAAAGTCAAAACAACTTTATGCAAAGATAGCACACCAAGTCCATCCAAAGGCTCCTAGGAGATCACCAATTTTTTTCAGGATTATATGCAGGATATGAAATTCTTTGAACTAACAGATCATCCTTTCTCCTAAATTCCATGAAGCTTTGCTGACCATTAGCTGAACTTTCAAAGCAAACATAATGTTCTCAGCATTTCTGTTTCTGTCAAAATATGACTTGTACCAGAAGAGAGGGAATTTCCACAGGAGAACCTTATCTAACCTATCACATTAGGACATCAGGATTTGTTTGTCTTGAACCAGACAGTAACACTTTTAGAGCTGAAAATACCTTTGAGGTTGCCTAATTCACCCTCATCAGTTTACAGATAAGCACCGCGGTCTATAATGCCTTTACCGGGTCAGTATTTGAGCTGGAGGAACCAGAGGTGGGTTCTGAACGGTAAGTTCTTGGTGCGGTAGAAACTGAGCTGGGACTGGCAGGCTGGTGTCAAACCTGCTGGAGTCCCGCACCTGAAATTCAAGGCTTGAAAGCAACAGTCAGAGGCTGAGCAGAGCCTAACACTGGATATCAAGGCTAGGACTGATTTCTCAGAAGCAGCAGGTGGGGATCGGGCAGCCCCCAGAGCCAGGTGCTCTGGTCAAACCGGGCATTCCTCTGGGAGGTCGCTGTGGAGAGAAGGCAGATTAAAATTTTGTAGGAAACACAGACCTGGGGCAGAAATGCAATGCCTGTCACAAGCTATGGAAGCACCATCCCATTTCCTTTCTCCTTAAAAATATCTGCTCTCACAGATAGCTGCCTGGTGTACTAGAGGCTGGGGAGAGGGAAGAATGAGGAGTTATTGTTTAATGGGTACAGAGTTTCATTTGGGGACGTGGACCAAAAAAAAAAAAAAAAAAAACCTGTTGCCTGCCATTTCAGTAAACAAAAAATATTGTCAGCCACTCCAGTAAACAAGAGTGTTGCCCTCCATCAAGTCATCAGCCACTGCAACCCCTGCAGTGTGCCCTGAGGGGAATTCAGGATGGAGAAAAACCAGTTCCTGGCCTTAGACAGTTAAGGTGTTTCCCAAAGGAATAAATTCAGTGAGCCCAGATTCTTGTATCTACATATTCATCAAAAAGCACTGAAATTGTTAACCTCCAAAGTCTGTTCTTTGTGACTAGCAGTAATCTTTTGATGTTCAACTACATGTGTTTTTGTTTTGTTTTGTTTTTTTAGCAAAAACTCTTATGTATTCTGGCTTCTCCCTAACCTCTTTGGAGCTATCTGAGAGGCTGTATCCCGGGCTATAGTTCTCAGTAAGTTCCCTAAATAAAATATAACTCTCAACTTTTAAGTATGTGTTTTAAGTTTTAAGAGTTTAAGCTTTTTGTTTGTTTGTTTGTTTTCAGTTGATGCAGAAGATGAAAAAGTTCTAGAGATGGATGGTGATGATGGCTGCATGACAGTGTAAATGTACCTACTGCCACTGAACTTTACACTTAAAAATGGTTAAAATGGCAATTTTTTAAAATTATTTATACTTCACCACAATTAAAAAAAATCTGTCATTAGTTCTTAGTTCACCAACATCTTCTGCCTTCTGAATAAATTTCTCATTCTCATTTTTTTAATTCCAAAAATTCAAGAATTCTGCTTGAGAAAATCATTACCAGACTGATAATCACTTGATAGACAGTGAAATCTCTGAGCAAATTTAATTTTTTAATCTTGTCAGAAGCAGTTGGTAAACAAAGGACAAAAACAAAAAGCTATAAATTTTAGAAAATTTTCTGGTTTTCACAACCACAAGGAAAAATGTTAGTTCCCAACACTACTTTACCAAAATAAAAAATATCTTTCAAAATAAGTAAATAACAGAGAACTGTCCACTTGTAAGCAATTAAAGCACGGAAAAGAAACAGGAAGCAGAGCCTTGTAGAATTCTTGCTGGGTGTCATTTAATCGCCATTTTACAGTCGTGGAAACAGGATTAGAGAGGTTAAGTATGTTACCCAAGGTCACAGTCTGGAAGAACAAGGTCTAGCCTAAAATCTAAAGCAGCCTCCAAATCCTCATTGTTCACTATTTGTTCTTCATATGCAAATACATTTCTTGCTTCAGGCTACATAATCAGTATAAATAATGGGGTAGGGAGGGGGGTAAGGCAATGGCATTGAGTCATGTCCCAAATAACCAGTGTAAATTGCTTCTAAATAATGGGAATCTTCATAAAGCACTCCACTGGGAACTTCCCTCCAAAACCAGGTCATCAATAAAAAATAGCAGTGGAAGCAAAAAAGAAAGCCATTTTGTCGAGCGAAAAAGGAGAATCATACCACATACACAAAGCTGACTACAGTGAATAGAAACAGAAATATCTAGAACAATTAGCACGATGTGAATGAAAAGTGAGCATTTCCAACTGAATTGTGAACAGTCGTAGACAGACTGAGAATTCTATACAGTTTCTATATTTAGCTCCATACCAGAAAGTTCCCAGCCCGGCGTGATCTGTACGGTACAACTAGAATAAAGACTGGTATGAGAGTTCCGAAAGGATCAGCAGGTGAATCAGAGCCAAAACAATTAGGTGAACACGTACAGAGCTGTGTCTCTCACTTTCAGTTACAGGTTTCCCCACACCCCACGGAGGTGCTGACAGTCAACAACTTTGTGGTCACGTACGGTCTATTATCTTGGTTCTCCCATGTACTAGGAACAGCATATGCACACTTATTTACATTCAGGTCAGCCAGGCCGAGCATACGACTATGAGTAAAGCAGCCAAAAATTTGTATTTCCCCAGATCTGCTCCTTGCATCACTTCAGAACTCCAGTTTTCTCCTATGCTTCCAAAATTGTTCTAGGAGAGACTAATGACTATTGGCCCCGAGCAGGTTGGTCTAGTTCTTGGAACCATTTTTTTTTTCTCTCTTACTTCAACACTCTGTAGTTGTTAGATATGACTCTGGTCACTTTCAATCTGCTGAGTAGCGAGCGACTGTGACGCCAATGTTTGCTGAAGTTGCTGCCACTGCTATTTTACTTGCAGAGGTATGCTGTTTTGGGGCCACTGTCTGCTGGAGAAGGCAACATCTCCTTTGTTTAATCTGTGAAGTCAGATGGCCTAGGTTCAAATTCCAATGGTGCCATTTACTAGGTATATTAATACTGACAAACATTTGTATATTTATCCAGTGGGAATTTTAATGGCCCTTCCCTGATAGAGTTGTGATAATGATTAAATGATATAATGCATTAGTTAACATCGAGCATTTAGTTAACATTTATTGAGTACTTATTAAAAACTGTCTTAATCTATTTGGGCTGCTATAACAGAATATCATGGACTGAGTGGCTTACAAACAACACACATTTATTTCGAACACTTCTCAAGGCTAGGACGTCCAAGACCAAGGTGCTGGCAGGTTTGGTGTCTGTTGAGAGCCTGCTTTCTGGTTCAGGGAGAGCCATCTTCTCATTGTGTCTTCACATGGTAGAAGATGCAAGAAATTTTCTGGGGTCTCCTCCCTAACCCTAACTCTCTGGAGTTTCTTTCATAAGGGCATTAATCTCATTCATGAAGGCTGCACCCTCATGATCTAATCTCCTCTAAGAGGACCCATCCTAATACCACCACACTGCGGGTTACAATTGCAACATAGGAATTTTGACAGGACCCAAGCATTCAGTCTATAGCATGAGCTAAGCAAAGTGCTGATATTGTCATTATTGGTAAGAAGTAAGCGGAAGATACCACTCTCCATATTCCATGCAACAAACAGCTCTGCCCATTTTAACTTAGTCTTTAATTACAAACCCTCATGTTAGGACCTAGACTGGCCTAGAATAACATGAATGGCAAACACCAGACTACACTCAGAACAGTCTTCTGCCCAGAGACATCACTCACTCCCAGGGTAAACAAATCGTACCTAGTTCATCAATTATATAATTTCAGTAAAAATAATTTTTGTTTTTTTTAAAGTACCAATTAAATATTATCATATAAAAAGGTGAAAAAAACACAATTTTCAAAGACCTTCAGACATTCTTATGGAAGACCCCAAATATGATAAACTCCCCTAAAATTTGAGTTTCCCAGGCTCCAAAGACACAAGTAAAGTGAAGTCTCTTTTACAGAAAGGTGTCTTGTAGGTCATATTTATCCTACATTAAGAATTGCATGAATTCCTCCTGGGAATTTGTCCTACAGACATGTACACACATAGGTATATGAATAAAGATGCTAACTGCAGCAGTGTTTATACATGCACAAAAGGAAATAAATATTTATCTGCAGAGAATAGGGTAACTAATCATGGTACTTCTTAAATTGAATTAAATCTCTATGTTCTGATAAGAAAAGGTTCCAACATCAATAAGTAAAAAAGCAGGCACAAAAAAAGTATCTCTAGTATGTCCCTATTTATGTGTATGTATGAGTATTTTAAAAGACGTGTACATACTTGGGTTTAGACACATAAGACAATTCTGGAAATAGAAATGACTGATGGGGGAGTCAATGGCAGTAGCTGTTTCAGATGTTTTGACTGAATATCTGGCCAACTTTGATTTCGATAAAATTGCCAATGGGCATAAAATAGACAAAGGACAAATCAATTACATCTATCAGCTTTAGGAATCAAAATGATATCCCAAACTTCTTCCTCCTGATGGCTAACTTATTTTAAATAATATTTAATATGACAAAATTTCAGTGAAAGAATCTGGATAATCTCTAGGAGTTTCTTGTAAGAAGGATCAATGATTATATCATTTTAGGGTGAAAAAAGTGCTAGACATTATGGTAACTTCCTTTTACTAAACCTGCACTTGGGTTGTCTTTTTCATGTTTTACTGACATCTCAGAACTGGTAGGGCCACACAGCTATTTAACTATTACCCATTCCCTCATCATGTTCATATGAGCTGAGGAAAAAAATCACTTATTTGTAGTGCCTCAGACCTGAGAGAACTGAAAGTTGCAATGAGTTATTTAATGATATTTCTATACTCTCTCGCTTTTGCTTGTCTGACCAAATCATACTGGGAGATATTTAGGGCCACATATTGTAAAGAATGGAACAGAAGGAAGTATCTTACAATTATTTTACACTATAAAATAGCTTAATGAAAACATGAATTGAATAAATCAAGAACTCTCAGATAAAATAGTCAAATAACAGAATGATAACTTTGAAAAGAGAAATACTGCAATCCTAAAGGGAAAAAAGTAAGAACCAAAACGATATTAAGACACAACTAATGAATCGATAATGAATGGCAAGGGGTGAGATAAAGGCAGGTGGAAATTTCATTACTAAGAGATCACAAGGAAAGCAGAATGAAAAAGCCAAAGATAGAAGCAATCGGAGAGGGGCTATTAGGTATGGGAGATAAAGATAACCTAAGCTTGACTGAAATGCAAGAAAAAATTTGTTCAAAGATATAATTCAAGAAAAACCCCTGAAATGAACCAGAAACTGAATCAGCAGAACAAAATACCACCACCAAAGAAAATCTGGTATAGAACATGCAACTCACAAACTAATGATCTTCAAAAATTTAAAAAAAAAATTTCAGGCATCTAGGTTTTATGGTTAAACTAGTAGTAAGGGACAGCATTTGAGCATTTAGGCTGCCTTCTGACTTCTCCAAGATAATATTCAACACCAGACACAGAAGAGCCCTAGTAGAGCCTCCAAGTTGACCTTCGATGACAGCCCCACCTCCTGGATATTCACACCCCTGTGCAGTCCACTCCCTCATTTTAACAGGGTTTGTCAGCGTGACCACAGAATCCTGCAGACATGGCGGCACAGCACGGCACTTCCAAGGCTATTTTATAACACGCATCTCCACTTCTGCCCTGGATGCACTCTCACTCTCTCTCAGATGACTCATTCAGGGGTGAGCCAGCTGCTAGGCAAAGGCCAAGGCAATAAAGCAGCAGCACCGTGGTCTTTTGCCATCAGCCAGACAGGAAGAGCCTCCTGGTAACAAGCACCTGAGTGAGGCATCTTGGGATGCCAGCCCTTGAGATGCCCGCAGCCCTAGCCCACAGATTGAATGCCTTGTCCTGGAGACCCTGAGCCCAAACCACACAGCTAAGCCGCTCCCATTTTCTGGATCCTCAGAAACTGTGTACCATAACAGAGGCTTGTTGTTAGTGTCTAAAATTTCAAGAAATGTGTTACGCAGCAGTAGATAATGAAAACAATCATCCGAAAGGGAAATACAGCGTGACCCAAGGAAAACATGCAGGGTAACCCAAGAACAATCTATTAGAAAAGATGTTATTCAAGAATAAAACTAACAAGTATATATTTTCATAAGTGAAAAATGTGAGGCAATGCGAGATCCACTAAAAGAACTACTAGTTAAGAAAAAGCAGGCAGTTAAGAGATTAAAGCAAAGAATTCAGAAGCAGAAATTGTGGTGAAAAACTGATACTGAGGAGTGAG